TGGCAGCATGTTTTAGGACCTAATCTTGCATTTTAAGGCATTTCTGGGACTTTTAATTTTTTTGTATATATATATATATATATTATATAAATATCCACAACAATGTGAACATTTAATTTTTTTATACTCCGTCACACACCCACAATATATATGAATATATTTACAAATATAAATACATACTTATATATTGTTATATGTTCATCTATACACACATGTATAAGTATATAGATGTATATGCACGTACAGTATATATGCGCATACATACATATATACACAGACACATATATACGTACACACACCCACATTACGAGAATAAAATCGTACGAGATTTTACTGTGAAAGAAGAACGTTTTTATAAATGAAGTCACAGGTTTATGAGACGAGAGCCGTAAAATGATGGAATCAACGTCGTAACTTCTCGTAACGTTTTGACTTTTGTCGTAAATTTCCAACTTCATTGTAGTTTTTTTTTTTTTTTTGGATTTTTAACGTGGACCGTAGACTTCGGAGGAAAAAAAAACAGTTACACAACTTTATAATTTCATATAAAGCAATGACGTCAATATTAAAACTGAGATTTTTTTAATTGGATGCTTCAACTATGTAGCATATATTTATATATAGTATTGATTTGACTACTTTTATATATTTTTTTCTATTTTGTAAGACTTGATTGATGTTATATGTAACAGTTGACACAAAACGACATGTTTAGCATCAACCGACATTATTATTATTATAAGTCATGGAAAAACATTTGTTACTTTTTAATATTTATATATATATTTTATTAATGTAATGAATTCATCTCGTAAATGAGACGAAGGGAAACACGGAACATTGTCATCGTTTTAATCATTTACAGCTAAATCACAGGTTCATTCATGCAAAATCTCAAAGTCGCTACAGAAACCATCTTTTCTCCCCCTACTCAATCCTCCCCCCTTCAGACGCAGTGAAGTGGGGGGTGAGGTGGAGGGGGAGGAGGGGTGACACACACACACACACACTGTCAGCGGCAGGAATTTAAGACTCCACAGACTGATGCTTATAAATTATGTCATATGTCAAAAAGAGGGAAAAACCAAACGAATCGTTTTTTGTCTGATCGTTTTTAAATGGCTTCAAAAGACATCGTGACTTTTTTTTAAAGATTAAATAACAAAATATCCACTTTTTTTAAAGAAATGTTTTTTTTTTAATAAAAATCTAATTCATCTGCCAGAAGACTAAGATTAACGTCGTCATTTTTTCTTTTTTTTTCTGTAGTGCTGTGAAACAAAACCATCGTCGCTGCAGTTCAAACAAATACATTACAGTTAAAGAATAACGTCGTCTCGGACGCACTGCTATCTCCTCAGTAGTCACGTTATATATATATATTTATACATATATTTATATACGTATGGCTTCTTTTGGCTCTTCAATGGCACCACAGGATAACATCAAAACAACGTGGGGACACGCGCGCTGACGTGCACGTCCTCGTGGGTAAAGCCAACACAGGTTATCGCAAACAGAACTCTAGTGGTGAAAAGAACAACAGTAAATATACAGAGATCGTGCCGTAAAGCAGAGTGGTTTTGTACAGCGTCAAGCATTCCAGTGTCATCAGCTTTAACTGTAACTGTTTATAGATAGATTTTTTTTTTGTTTTTTTTAATATATATTTATATTCGATTTGTCCAGACGCCACAGCACCTCCTCCTCCACAACCACGGAGTCACTGACACGACCCGAGACTCCAGCTGAGGTACTGGGAGTGTCAGGACCAGGACCAGGACCAGGACCAGGACCAGGACCGGGACCATCAATGTGAGATGACTGAGCTGTGAGTTTCAGCTGGAGTCTGTTCAGAGGTGAGTGCTTTTTTTTAACGAGAGATTAAATTGAAGGATGAAGGGAGGAGGGGGGTGGAGGAGGTGGTGCAGGGTCACTGCGGGTCAGTTACAGAGGACCAAGTGGACCTGCTGACCATAGAAAGGGTGGTTTGAGAAGTCGGCCACAGCCCGTCTGGCCATCTCTTCACTCGGGAACGTGACCAATGCCTCTCCGCTGCACTGGCCGCTGAAGTTGTACAAGATGAGAACGGAGTCCGGGAGGAGCTGCGGGGATAGAGAGGAGAGGAGACAGGAGCAACGCCATGAAAACAACGCTAGGGGGTGCTCACGCAGCTGAAAAGGAACGAGGCTTTGGCGGAGAGCTGGTGCTGTTAGAAAAAAGGTGAGAGAAGGAAACAGACGGAGCAGAGATTCACAGGGTCAGAGCGGAGAACATGCCGTTCCCAGAGGAACCAACAACCACGAACACACATGACGTCATCACGTCAGTACGCATGCAGCCACGCCTCCACAAACAGATGCACAAGTAAATTGATTAAAGACATGCAACTCACTGATCAGACCTGTAAAACTGCAATGTTAGGAAATGACAGAGAAGAGCAGGAGAGCGGTGATGCATTCACGGCCAGTGGGAATTATTAATGTCAAGAAGAAAAAAGTTCAGAGTTTGTTTGGTTTTTTTTCTGCTGTGGGTCAGTGAAGGAGTGATGAATCCAGAGCAACTGGACCGTGCTGTGGTGATCACAGACTTTATAAAGTTTTACTACTGTTATAATACTATAAAGTATTATTAGCACAGACTTTATAAAGTTTTACTACTGTGATAATATTATAAAAAAGTATTTTATGATAAAGTACTTTATGATAATGCAGTATTTGCTACATGTTGGATTAGAAAAGAAAATCAATATATTTGGCCTCTTGTCTAGGCATTAACACAAAACTCTGACATACAGTACATGTACTGGTCTTCAGTGGACATGAAGGTTGTGGGTTCCAGACCCAGCACTCCTCTGACACACACACAGCAGCAGCAGAGATTGATTTGTTCAGCGAAGCATCACACACACATGCCGACGCAGGAGTTTCAGGACCCGTGTGGCCAGATCGGGCATTTCAATTCAGACCAGACTTCTCTGTTTGTTTGGTGTTTTTTTTTAGTGTTGGTGATGACACAACAGTAGGTAAAGCCCTCTCTGTCCACACTGGTCCCCTGGTCCAGGACTCCTCTTACCTCTGGGGGACGAGTCCCTAAAGACAGAGCCATTCTTTGGGCTGAATCAGACTCCTGGCCTGATCGCTCATTTGAACCATGCCGCTGTACTCGTCAGGGGCGTACTACGGACAGTGTGATGATAAATGACGACAGTCAGAGTGGAGTTACACACACACACACACACGAAATGAAAAAAAAAAAAAGTTCTGTGTTAACT